TTAAAGAAATAATAAATAGAAATCATTGATCAATATCTTAATTATTAAATATGTACATTTAATGTTATTTAATACTAATTTAATTATCTTGTGTATATTTTTAATTTATTTCAGTCAATTATCAGTTTAATATTATTTTATTAAATTAATTTAGTTTATTCTCAATGACTATTTAAGTGTAATAATTTGTATTGTATTGCTGTATCTTCTTATAAGGCAACAGATGGCTTGAATTTTGTTCGTAATTATAAAATAATGATTGAATAAAAAGCGTCTTTATTTGAGTTACTCTATCAAATATTCAATTGATAATCGATTTCATTTCAATCTCGGAATTGATTTGAATTGAACAATTTATATTTTGCTTAATATCTGATAATATATTAGTGAAACATTTCTATGTTACATAGACATAGACAATAATAATATGATATACTAGTTCGAAATAGTTCAAATGTGTTTTTCATTTAAAATCAAATGAAAAATTATTGATCTATTTATTTATTTATTAACATGATAATTATGTTCGATTTCGTATAAATCAACTAAGATAAAGATAAAGGTAAACAATAAAAAATGATATATGTGCGCAAATAGAAAAAAATGCTTGCGTCAGCTAATGTTACAATGATGACGCATTAACGAGTGATCAGCTACGTTGGCATAAAAGTAATAATACATAAATACGTTTTTTTTTTCTTGTTCTTCAATTATTTCTCCTTGTGTTCTTAACATGAAAATAAAAAGTACGTCATTTGTTTTCATTTTCATGTTTTTCTTTTTTTTTGCTTCTTGTTTTTTTTGATTGAAATAGTCACTATCGTTATTTAGTTATCGTGCCGTTATATAATAACTTACACAAAACGAAACCTCTAAAATGACACAAGAGAAACAAATAATGGCTAATGAAACTAAAATGATCATAATAACATCAAATGAAGATTTAATTCGACAATTTTCTTTAAACAAAACAAATAATACACTTATTATTGATTTGGATAATCAGAAAGAAATAACTTTAGAAAACAATAATAATATTATTAATTTGAATTTACTTGATGAATTATCTGAATTGGTTTGTATAGAATTAAAATAAAATTTGTTAAGACAATCAATAGAAATTGTTTAGAATTCTACAAGTGATCAAATATATAAACGTGTACTTAATTCATCTGATCATAATAGATCAAAACCAGTTAAAATATCAAGAAAATCAACAGATTTAACTTGTACCATTTGTGGGGATCGTGCTGTTGGATTTAATTATGATGCTCTTTCCTGTGCTTCATGTAAAGCTTTTTTTCGTCGTAATGCTCATCAATCTCTGGTTAGTTACTAGTTTTATATCATTTTATTATATATATATATATATAGTTTATTATCAAACATTATACATAGGAATTCATTGAACATTTTAGATATATACACAATCTATTTTTTATATATCAAATTCTTTAGACTTATTTCAGAATTGTAATCCTAAAATACGAGTATATTCCTATATTCAATTATTATTCTATCTGCCTCCCTCCTCGCATCCTAGATTCTACTTTGTGGATGATTTTTCTTAATTGCTCTAAAAAAATTCTCTGCAATCCTGATGTCGTCATTAGTAAATAGCTATTCTTTATGTGTTTTTCTGATCATCAAGCGAATTGGAAATATCGTTCATTTATAACAAAAAAAAAAAATGAGTGCATTGTCAATGTTACTCATTTTTTCAATATTTATCTTTAACTTTTTGAGATAAAAGACAAAATATTGACATATATTCAATGAAGAGAAGAGTAATGCGGTTTTATGTCGATCAATGAATAATAAATATTGATGAGAAAGTTCTGAAATAATGGTTAGAATGAAAATCAACAATTGTGATAAGATTATTGAATAAAGAATGAACGCAAGTTTGATGCAGAAGAGGTCAGAATGAATGTTCAAAATCAGAGTTTCCGAATGCTCGATATTCGATGGATACCGTGTGGTTTAACATTGAAATAGAACGAGCAAAAACAAAAAAACATATTTAAAATCTATGATGATGAGTAATAATAATTTTGTTTTTAGGAAAAATTATCATGTTTGACAGGTGAAGGTCAATGTTCAATAAGCTATGAAATGCGTCGTAAATGTCAACGATGTCGATTAAATCGATGTTTTACTATGGGAATGAGAAAAGATTTTATTCTAAGTGATGAAGAAAAAGAACGAAGAAAAAAACGTCTTGAAGAAAATCGAAATATATCATCAAAACGTTCATCAACATCTGATTCGAATAATTCATTATCATCAACAAGTATTTCATCAAATTCTCAATCATTTTCACAAACATTTGATGATATTGATCATGTAAGTTTTTCATTGTTTACATTTAATTTAAATCAATATTTAATTAATTAAAAGATTTAAAATTAATTAAAAGAAATATATTTGTTTTGATTTTTAGTTATTAATGGATATGGAGAAATATAATGATCAAATTCTTATTGATGAAACTATAGATTTATATCATATTGAAGATAAATCATTGGAAATGGAAATGTTGTCTCATCAAGATCGATTAACAATTGAAAATGTTCAATCATCATTTTTATCATATTTTCAAAATGAAAATATGCAATGTTTTCCAATAGATGCAACAGATCATGAAACAGCTCTTATATCTTGGTCTCAATCAGCTAATCAAATAGCTTTACGTTTTATTAGTTTTTTTCGTCAAATAGATGAATTTGAAAGTTTACATGCTGATGATCGTTTTATTCTTATTAAATATAATCTTCTTCCTCTTTTTCCAATATTTAAATGTTTTATTTATAAACCAATAAATAATTCTTATTTAAATGAAGAAAATCAAATAAATGAAAAACATCAATTATTAATGTTATCTGATCAATCAATTGATATTCGTCGTACATTGATTAATTTAGTACTTTCACTTGTTAATATAACTGAACAAGATCCAATATTATTATCTCTTTTATTGCCAATTCTTATTTTTTCTCAAGGTTTATCAATGAATGAAAATGAACCATCATTAAAAGACTCATTAGCTGTTAATCGAGCTCAAAATTATTATACAAAATTACTTTGGAAATATTCAATTAATAAATGGGGTGAAATGAAAACTTATAAACATATAACTCAATTACTCACAGTTATATTTCAACTTCAATTAGCAACTAAAAAATTTCGAGAATTTTTTCGTTTTCAATATATTAAATCAAATACTGTTGATAAAGTTACACCACTTATGCAAACTGTTCTACATATATCTTAATTCTTTTTTTTTTTTTTTTAAATTTATTCATTTACTGAACAAATTTATTGTAAAATAAACTTATTTTATTATTCTATATATCTATTAGAATAAAATCTAGATTTATTTTTAAATTTCAAATATTTTCTATATTATTTTATTTATAAAAACTAAGACAAGTCATGTTGTTTTTCTAAATAATTACATCTTATAGATTTTGAACATTCTTTTAATAAGTTACACTTTCTATTCAGATTAGATTTCAATCAAGTTGATTATGTTATGCAATATAGAATTTTAATCTATATTGACAAACAAAAATTAGCGAATGAAAAATAATTTATTATATTAATCAATGCTCAATTATTTTGACTGACGTTCGAGAATTAGATTTTTGTCTTTAATCAAATTTTAATTTGAGTTCAAAATATTGAAATCAGTATTAACGAATATGCCATAAATAATGGCATCATATATAAAACTGTACTTAATCTATTCAAATAATTCGCTATTTTATTCTCTAGACAATCAAATGACAGCTTTATATCTAACCTTAGTAATGGTCATTATCATAACAATTGAACAATACTCAAGTTCTTCAATATTTACCCATTTCTAACATATAATAATTTGTATTTGAAGTTTCGTTGATTAGATCTTAACTTTTTCATGGAATATTTATTTGTCGCCTGGAATTCTTTAAGAATCATTTATTTCATCATATATCGATATTTCGAAGGATCGGATTTTATTATGAAAGTTTCCGATGACTATCACTTTGAGTCAATATTATTAAAAATTCGAGAAATTTGATGAAAGTTTAAGCTTATGTTTAGTGAGAGTATTGTTTTCTACATGGAAATCTGAATAAGGTTATAATAAAATAGGAATAGTGCCATTACTTATAGCGCACTAATTGTTGAAATACTAATATTCGCAAAAAAAACAATGTACAACAAAACAAAATGTTAATTAGCATTGTAATGCACAATTTGTCAATCAATGAAAGAATTATATTTTCTAATGTCAACAACGGAATTAATTTACTAGGAAAAAAAAATTTTATATTGGCATCAAATAAAATCGAGTCTCTTGAGATAATAATGTTAATCATCGATAGGGTGATACATTATTCATAAAGTAACGATGTTTAAAGAATTCGAGAATACAGATTTTTTTAAAAATCCTATATTTATTGTTTCATAACAAATATTTTGTACCAATAAAATATTACATTGCTCTAAGTGTGAATTACGATGTTTTTTGTGAAATAGAACTTTATATTAAAAAAAAAATGCGAGTATTTGCAAATTGATATCACAATTAAAAGATAAAGATAGCATATAAGATTATTCAAATGGAAGAGAATTATCTTTTTATTCCTTTATTCCTGTTTAAAATCATTAGTATTAATCGATAAATGATCATTTTGAAAATAATCGATAATTAAAAGTAAAGTTACAATGAATAATTCAAAAATCTTCCTAGATTATGTCTCCGATATAATCACTTCTAATCAAGATTAATTAACTATTTATGAAGATTTATAATAATGTCGAATTTTAATTGTTAATAAACAAAGAATACAAACAACAAGTCTCAAATCTGACTACTGTTCCATGGTCCGATCAAGGTTGTAGCAAGGAAAAGATCGTTCATGCCTACCGTTCAAACTAAATGTAAGTACAGGAAGACCCACCTACTCCACACCCACTGCGTCGAGTTCTTGAACAATATAAATAAGATTTCATAATGGACGACATTCTTCTAATTCAATTTCTTTGATCTGATAAATTTGACCTCCCTTCATCAGCTCTGCATAACGTTGTTCTTTTACTTGAAAAACAGTGAACGGTACAATAAGCACTTCTTTTTCATCTCCAATATGACTAATTTTTTCAATGAAGAGACTTGATCGTGGATTAATCACTTTATAGATACACATAACTGGTGGATGAATTTCATTATTAGTACAATCAATAAATAGTTCAGCGATAGATCGATCTGTCGATGTAGAAAGAAATGAACGAGTTAAAACAATATTTCCTTTATTGTATTCTTCAAGATCTTTCTTTGTAATCTTCATTCCACGAAAGGTAGTACCAGAATAGTGATATGGATGAAATCGAGGATGATTAATAACAATCGAAGTAAATATATACTGACCAAGACCTTGTGGTGGTTCATTATCGACGTAACCTGAATTTATCAAAGCTTGAGTACTAACAAAACGAAAATCGGAACCTAATTCAGCCAAATCATGATTTAATAAATAATGAAATTGAACTCTCGGATTGGTGTATGTCATTAATAAACCAAGAGGATCATCTTCTTCTATCACATACGAGAGTTCTTCTTTGATGATTTTTCGATCATTTTCGTCTTTAAACTTAATTTTTTCGATATAGTCATTAACGATTGCCTTGAGCAGTTTATGCAATGCAACTTTTGTCAGCCATCGTTTCATATGTTCATGATTCTCGTATGCTATTCTATAGGCATTTTTATATGAATCAAGCCATTCGACTTCACGTGATGAAGCAACAAAATGGTTGGAATCGAATATCGTTCGTACAGGTTCTTTGAATGCTATTCGAGTTTCGTCATTTGCTGCTAATTCTTCAGGAGTAAGTCCTTTATCATTGCAAATCTCGCGTGAAGCATGATAGCGTAATAAGAGTCGGACAAGTTTAGCATGACCATACATTGAAGCAGCATGAAGAGCGGTGTTTCCATCGGGTCCCAGAGCATCGATTTCGGAACAATTAGCATTCTCTTGAACTGTTTTTAAATCATTATTGCAACAAGCCAAGTAGAAAGCGCTCGGTTGTAACGATACTGGAGATGCCATCTTTTTGTTGAACCAGTAGAAATTAGGATGAAATTGTATATTTTAGAGATTCTGTTGATACGAATCTATATCAATGTTTATAATCACATTCTAAAACAAGATCTCATGTTATATTTGACTCTTGGGAACAAATTGTGATAATGTTTATTAGAGAAAGTAAGTTCACTTTTATGTCTATACGAAAGGTATCTTTACCATTTAAAATATTTCATATAAAAAAAAATAGCTGTTCCTACATAGTGGACACGATTGTTTTTATTGACATTGGCAAGATCATATTGAAATTTGTTCGATCAAAAAGAGAAAATTTCATGAAAGAGACTCTATGTTAAGGTCCTATCGTTCTATTTTTCTTTCCTGTATGCATTACTATTGGGTATGAGAACAATATTTATTTAATTAATGATATTCGTTTACACAGAACACAATTAAATAGAAATTTCATTTTTTAAGAGATAAAAATATGTCTAGGATTGGTGATCATTTCTAGACGATAATCAATTACAAGTGGATGATTCTTGGCTCCTATTCGCAATTTAATTCAAATCCTATTTAGTTTTTACGTATTCGAAACGGAAATAGTCGAAATAGTTTCGTAATATAAAACGTTGTGTACCGAGCAAACATTACGGTTTCTCTCGAAATCCAGAACTCAACTTACACTACACACACAATTAACATAGCCAGCCAATAAGAAAAACTTCATTGATTCAAGAAAAACAGTGTGATACCTTAAGATAAATAACAACAATGATGACAAGAGTAAGAGAGAGACATAATGACGAACGATACTGCTAGACGAAAGATGTCAGTTCATACAAATAGATTTACTAAAAAAGGTAACATTTTGATATTGTCTTTCATCGAAACTTAAAATGGAAATTTCCACTGTGCTTCAAAATGGGCAACATGTTCGTCAAGATGAAATTAATTGAAATGAACGATAATGATCAATCATTTTTCTTTCATTGTTACAAAATTCAACTCCGGTCAAACAAGCATGCTAGTAAATTGTCGTATTACATAAGTCTGTATTGTATACTGAAAAATACAAAGCGATTATGGCAAAATACCAAGTAAAACAGAGCTCATATAATTCGTCCGAGAAAATCTTTTACCTCGAGAATTTGACGTCAAAAGTAACTTTCTATTAATTAAAGTTTGTATGTTGTAGAAGAGAATAGTAGCTTTACAAAACTATCTTACGTAGTGTCCCCAACTGTTTTCATCAGCCAACAGATGAAAACATTCATTATGACCAGATATAAAATTATTTTGACGATATCTATTCACCATAAATAAATGTTCATATCTTTGAGAAAAAAAGCCATGAAGAATGCCGAACAAGATGCAATATATAGGTTATCAACTTTTTTCATTTCTTCCTTAGACAAACATGTCTCGAGCAAAAATTTTTATCAATAGAAGACAAAATGTTTATGTTTTTTTCTTCTAGTATACGGTGGTGCAATCATGATGTTTTTCTCTTGCGTTCTCTCATGCAACAAAAAAAATGCTCTGACGACATACGTTGAAAAAACTTCCAACCACATCACTACTTACACATCTTTGCATTCTATTTTGTTACCTCTTATTGATGCTTTAGTAACGTGAGTAAATAATAAAAGAAAAGTTTTTGATTTATATTCCTTTTTGTGCTATTCGAGTTGAAAATGATTCCACGTATGTTTGATGTTATCAAAGAACCTCAGACGGTTCTGTCAGCTATTGATGGCTATCAACACTGCCCTCTTTTACCGTTGGAAATTGCCATTAAACCTCTTATTCCATTCTTTGAAGATGGCAGTCTTGAGCGTAATGCTTGGATTGTGAAAGAAGGATGCAAGAATCCATCGAATAATTTAACTGTTGATGAGTCTGCATCAATTAGGTTATATACATTCAATTGGGATCGCAGTGAAAACAGTCTTTATTACTTATTAAATGAAACATTACGAACAGAAAAAAGAGAAAAACTTGCGCCTTGGTATAACTATTTAAAACTTCTTCTTACCGCTCTTTATCGTCTTCCACCGACTAAAGAAACTATTTTTCGTGGTGTCAAACTTGATATATCATCACAATATGTCGTAGGTCAACAGCATTTCTGGTGGGGTTTATCATCATGCACAGATTCAATGGATTTATTGCAATCGAAACAGTTTTGTGGACAAGAAGGACAAAGAACAATATTTTTTATTAAATGCAATAGTGGACGTTCTATAAAACGACATTCATTTTACAGTGGTGAACAAGAAATTCTTTTAATGCCTGGTTTTTACTTTGAAGTTGAAAGTAATAGTGATCTTGGTCATGGTCTTCATTTCATTCATTTAGTCGAAAAAGTACCGCCACACGTTATGCTTCCATTGCCCGAGAAAGCTGGTATTTTCATTGAAGCTATTTGTCATAACAAAGCATGTACACTCTTTAATCGACAGATACGAATCTCATTTGGATGCTGCTCTTTAAATATATTAGCTGATCTTGATGAAAATAATTGTAAATGTCCATTGTGTTCTGAATATACAGAACCTGAGAAATATGGAGTAATAGATTGTTGGTGGCGTTGGTCAGCTAAAAAAAAAGAAAAACCATCAAAACCACCTATAACTTGTTCAGAAGATTGGATGTATGCAGAGGGTCCAACTTACTTTCAACCGAAAACTGATGAAAACTCGACAACAGTATGGCTAAAATTAGTTATTGAAGCGAAAGATAAATCCTCGTGATGGATTGAAAAACAAACGTTAGCAAGTATAAAGCACTTGAATGATATGGCAAAAGTCCGACTGAAATTCAATTTAGATTGAATAAATATATAATTTTGTTGTCATAGAATAATTTTCTGCTTTCTTTTTTTGTATTATTTTCACACAGAAAAAAAGGAAAGAACATACAAAGTTCGCTACATTTGTAGATACAGAAAACAGTGAAAATACTAATTGACTCGAGAAATATTGATAAACTTTAGAGAGAAAGAAAATTAAGATTATTATTTAATATTAAGTAAATATGCGAAGTCTATTTGGAAACTTTCTGTGTCTTTGATTCAATTCATAGCACTTTATAATGTAAAGAATTTCCACGGTTACAATAGCTTCTAATGACTTCACTATTTTTATGTCAATTTGAATTTTCAATTACATTTTTTCTCTATTCCCAAGTCGTATTGTCATAAAATACATATTATTTGCTTACTTCACATTACTGTTAGTGGTGAAGTCAGGATTTTTGGCTGGCGGGAGCTGAGGTGGGACTCAGCCTC